CCCTTCTTCCAAAGGTGGTAAACTCTCATATGAGTCTCCTGAAATTTTCCCATATGTTGAGGAACTGAAACCAAATGAAATGTTTGGAATTTCTTTTTAATGATGTATTGCTTGAGAGGCTCTTATGGGTTCTCTCAGCTGATGGGCAAACATGTTATGACTATGGAAGCCTGGGAAGAAATAGGAGTCAATTCGAGTAATTTAAAAGTTGTCAGTTGATTTGTTGAAAGGTTAACTGAAAGATCAAAGACTAATGTGTATGTATAAACTGTATTGAAATTTATCTTTCTCCCCTCTGTCCTATGTTTAAGCAGGATGAAACAACTTCACAGGAAAAAATAATAGATCAGGAAGATCGGAATGGGATTTCACTCCTACCCACAGAAAACTTGGAAAGACAGAAGACTGAAGGTGGTATCATTATCTTACCTATTTTAATATTCTTAAAATATTTAAGAATTATTCATCTAGTCCAACCCCCCTGCCCTGGGCAGGGACATCCTTCACTAGATCAGGTTGCTCAAAGCCTTATCCAGCCTGACCTTGAACATGTCCAATGATGGGGCAACCAACAACTTCTCTGGGCAACAAAAAGAGAAGTGGCCCTCTTGAAGGGCTACAGTAAGGCTTCCCTGGAGCCTTCTCTTCTCCAGGCTGAACAACCCCAACTCTCTCAGCCTTTCATCATAGGAGAGATGTTCCAGCCCTCTGATCATTTTTGTGGCCCTTCTCTGGACTCACTTTAACAAATCCACATCTGTCTTGTACTGGGGGACCCCAGAGCTGGACACAGTACTCCAGGTGGGGTCTCATGAGAGCGGAGTAAGGGGTGAGAATAGTCTCCCTCGATCTGCTGCCCACACTTCTTTTGATGCTGCCCAGGATGTGATTGGCTTTCTGGGCTGCAAGCGCATGTTGCCAGCTCCTGTCCAATTATTTGTTTACCAGTATTCCCAAGTCCTCTGCAGGCCTGCTCTCAGTCCATTCACCCCCTAGTCTGTACTGATACTGGGGATTGCCCCAACCCAGGTGCAGGACCCTGCACTTGGCCTTGTTGAACTTCATGAGGTCCGCACGGGCCCACTCCTCAAGCTTGTCCAGGTCCCTCTGGATGGCATCCCATCCCTCAGTCGAATCAACTGCACCGCTCAGCTTGGTGTCATCTGCAAGCTTGCTGAGGGTGCACTCAATCCCACTGTCTGTATCGTGAACGAAGATAATAAATAGTATTGGTACCAGTATGGGCCCTTGAGGGACACCACTCATTACTGGTTTCCATTTGGACATTGAGCCATTGACTATAACTCTTTGCACACAGCCATCCAGCCAGTTCCTTATGCATCTAACAGTCCATCCGTGCAATTTAGTGGCAAGAATGTTGGGGGGACCATGTCAAAGGCCTGACAGAAGTCCAGCTTTTAATCTGATACCATGCTCTGAGTTAAGATTGAGTGTATCCAAAATGTACCTGGAAGGCTTTCATCAGCTTTCTTAAAAAGCAGGTCCTTCCTCCACTGAAAGGAATTCCACCTAAAAATGCAGTGACTTTTAGAGCTTCACTGTCGTGGTCCTTAAAAGGTCTTTCCCAATGCATGTTTACCTGCATGTTTACTTCAAAACAAGATCTTTTTTTCTTGTAATTCTGTTTCCAGTGGGTGTATTGAACACTTGGTTACTGACATTTTTTAACATTTTGAACACTGGGAGATGTAATTTCTTAAAAAAACACCAAAAGATTAAATGGAAACATGTAAAAAATCATCATCTTTCAAACCTCCTTTGTAGGTTCTAAATACTTTGTTACTCCTCTTTGTCTCCTGATGACTTTCTGATTTGTCAGTCTTATTTAAAGTATGATGCCTAAAGTATGATGCCCACAGTACTCCAGTCCTAACTTGAGTAGAATGAAATAAGGATTTACATATAGTTACCTTATATTTTGCAATTTCTGATGATTTTCAAACAGACCTCAACAAATGCTTCCAAACTACTTAATTATCATTTTCTAAAATGTAAACACTTTTGAAATCTTTGTACAGTCTTTTAATTTTCATGGGCTTGGTAGTGCATTATACCACTATATCTCTTGCTCTTTTTACTAGCCACATGGATTCCTTAAACTTTTCTTGAAGCAGCTCTTGGAGTGATTGAATGTCTCTTCTCCTGCTACGTAAGAGACCATTGAGTTTACCTTTCTCTGCTTTCCCCTCTACACTAAGAAAATAGACAAGAGTTAGGTTAACCGTTGGACTCAATGATCTTAAGGGTCTTTTCGAACCTAAATGATTCTATGATTCTGTCATCTTCAGGAAAAGCCTATGACGTTCAGCCAATTTCAAAGAAAGCAAGCATCTGGATTGAGAGCTAGAGATTGCTTTTCAAAGTCACTGTATAGATAATTTAACATTAGATATAAGGCTTTCCCTAGTTCACTTAGTGGAAGAAAAAGTTGTTGAAAGACTACAGTGTGGTATGAATTGATAAAGGAAAGCCATTATCACAGAAGATGGACAGACTGCTTTCCAGATGTTAGAATTCATAAAAAAATTCATCTGAGCCTCCTCAAAATACATAATATGTTTAACTTAGCAAATACCATTTTGTATAGTCAATTGTATGCAGAAAAGAGTCTAAAGGGGCACAAAAGAAAACCTTATACCATATGTTAATGCTGTGTCCTCTTTGCATGCTCAGAATTGGAAACTACAAGAATTCTTATCCCTAACAGAACTGTTTGACTTGGTCCTTAATTTTATTTTGCACATATATTAACGTACATTTCATATCATCATTGATAGTTACATGTTCACAAAAATGGGGTCTGTTTTTTAATGCTTCTAAGTTGATATTTCTGGGGAGGAAAGACATACTGTATAAGTTGTTGTACTGGCTCTTCTGCTAAAAGGTTGAGGCATCATCTCTAATAGAATTAGCTAGAACTGTAATGAATCATAGAATCACAGAATAACTTACATTGGAAGGGATCGAAGGCGTATTTTAGTCCAGCTTCCTCCTAGAAGCAGGACCAACTGTGAGATCAGACCAGGTTGCTCAAGCCTTTATCTAGTCAGGTCTTGAAAACCTCCAATGATGGTGACTGCACAACCTCCCTGGGCAGCCTGTTATGACACTTGACTGTCCTCATGGCAAAAAAGGTCTTCATTACATCCAGTTGGAACCCATTTTATTTCAGTATAGGTGTATTGTCTTTCATCCTCCTACCGTGCACCACTGTAAAAAGCCTGGCTCTGCCTTCTCAATAACCTCTTCATAGGTGTTGGAAGGCTGCTTTTAGGTCTCCCCAAAGCCTCCTATTCTCCAGGGTAAAAAACCCTTGTTCTCTCAGCCTCTTCTCACAGGGAAAGTGCTCCAGCCCCGTGACCATCTTATCTTGGTGGTCTTCCACTGAACTTGCTCCAGTTTATCAATGTCTTTTCTATATTGGGGGTCCAAAACTGAATGCAGTACTTGAAATGCAGTCTAATGAGTGCCCGGTAGAAGAGGATAATACCCTTGATCGATCTGCTGGCTAGACTGCTGTTCATACAGTCCAGGATGCTGTTGACCTTGTTTGCTGCCAGGCACACTTGCTGGCTGATGTTTAGCCTAATGTCTAGCAGATCCTCTTCATCCTTTCTTGCAGAGCTGGTCCCCAGCCTGCATTCTCAGGGGCAGGACTTTACATTTGTCCTTGTTGAATTTTATGAGGTTCCTGTTGCACCATTCTTCTAGCCTGTCTAGGTTGCTGTAAATGGCAGCCCTGCCAGCGAGGGTATCAGCTGTTTCCCCTCAGTGTGTTGTGTTCTCCAAACTTGAGTGTGGACTCCGCCACCTGCAGGTCACAGATAAAGATGTTAAACAGGAGAGGTCACAAATAGACCTCTGTGATGTGCTACTTGTAACTAGCCTCCAGCTAGAGTATGACCTGTTCACCACTATTCCCTGAGCCTGATCATCCAACCAGTTTTTTATGTATTGAGTTGTCCTTCAGTCCAGACCATCACTTCTTATTTTCGATACAAAAATATTGTGTGAGACACTGGCAAAAGCCTTGCTAAAGTCAAGGTAAATGCTGTCCGCTGCTCTCTCCTCATCCACAAATGCATAAAAGACAATCAGGTAGTCCAAATATGATTTCACCTCAGTAAATCCATGCTAGCTGTTTCTCAGTCACTGCCTCCTCTTCCATGTGCCTGCTAATGTGCTCCAAGAGGGCTCACTTTGTGATTTCTGGAGGGACCAACGTGAGGCACACTGGCTTCTAGTTTACCATATCATCTCTTTGGCCTTTTTTTGAAGATGGATACACCATTTGTCTTTCTCCAGTTATAGTGGACTTCCCTCAATTTCCATCACCTTTCAGTGATGATACTGTCCTTGCAAGGACACTGGCCAGCTCTCTCAGGACCCTTGAATGCAAGACAACCCGTCTGTTCTCATAAATTCGTATTGCTCGATTTCTCACAAGTAGTCCCTGACTTAATCCTCAGGACAGAGGCTTGGAAAACTTTATTGGAGGACACGGAGACAAAAAAGGTACAGAGTGTCTTAGCATTACCTGTGTGCACTGTCACTAAATCATAAACCTCATTCAGCGTCAGTCCCACATATTCCTTGTTCAGCCTTTTACTACTAATGTAGAGGTGGAAGCTATTCTTGTTGCCCTTGACATCCCTTGCAAGTCTCAACTCCCGTAATTTTTGGCTTTTCTAACACTGTCCTTAAATGTTCCTGAATTCCTGCTTTGCAGCCTGTCCCTGTTTTTATCTCCTACTTCTTTGCCGCAGAGCTCTGTCATGAGTTCCCTGTTTACTCAAGCCAGTCTTCTGATATGATGACTTGTTTTTCTGAGTGTTGGGATGGACTGTCCTTGCGCTTGGAGGGTGCTGTCCTTACAAACCTGCCAGCCTTCCTGAGCTCCTTTGCCCTTCAGAGCTGTCTGCCATGGGATCCCAACTACCAGTTCCCCAAATAAAGTGAAGTCTGGTCTCCTGAAGTCTAGGATCTGTATCTCTGTTACTCTCCTTCCTCACTCCCCTCAGGATCTTGAATTCCTCTGTTTCATGGTCACAACAGCCAAGGCTGCCACTGATTATCACATATCCAGCCAGTTATTCTCTGCTTATAAACAGCAGATCTAGCTGTGTATCACTCTTGGTTGGCCCATCCAATACCTGTATCGAGAATTTATCTCTGACGCTCTCCAGAAATCTTGTATAGTGCTTGCCTTCTGATGTGCTACCCTTCCAGCAGATGTCAAGGAGATTAAGGTCCTCCAGAAGATTCAGGATCTGTGACACAGAGACTTCCTCAAATTGTTTAAAGACCAACATTTACTGGCAAGTAGCCAGTGTGGAAATGAACATGTTCTCTGTCTTCCCGGGCAGTGAGAAGACTGAGATGGTGTCTGTTGGTATCAAATGTAAATGGAAGGTTTTTTCCTGTAATAATTAATCAGGAAAGCTAAATAACCATAATTATTACTTTCAGACATTAATTTTTTTTCTAGATGTGGTACAGGATACTTTTTTGCCTATCTTCTGCTTTGGACTATCAAAATGTCTTGAGTATGTCTTGATTATCATAGAATGGTTGAGGTTGGAAGGGACGAAGAGCCAGCCGCCCAGGACAATGTCCAGATGGCTTTTCAATATCTCCAAGGAGGGAGACTCCACAACCTCTCTGGGCAGCCTGTGCCAGTGCTCGGTCAACCTCACAGTGGAAAAAGTGTTTCCTGATGTTCAGAGAGAACCTCCTATGTTGATTGCCTCTGGTCCTGTCACTGGGCACCACTGGAAAGAGCCTGGCTCCATCTTCTTTACGTTCTTCCCTCAGGTATTTATACTCATTTATGAAATTCCCCCTAAGCCTTCTCTTTGCTAGGCTGAAGAGTCCCAGCCCTCTCAGCCTTTCCTTATATGAGGGATGCTCCAGTCCCTTAATCATCTTTGTGGCTCTTTGTTGGACTCTCTCCAGTATGTCCATGTCTCTCCTGTACTCAGGAGCCCAGAAGAGGACACAGTACTCCAGGTGTAGGCTCACCAGTGCGGAGTAGAGGCGAAGGAATACTTTGCCTAATGCAGCCCAGGATACTATTAGCCTTCTTTGTGGCAAGGGCACGTTGCTGGCTTCCAGTCAGCTTGGTGTCAGCCAGGATCCCCAGGGCCTTTTCTGCAAAGCTGCTTTCCAGCGGGGTGGTCCCCAGCATAAACTGGTGCTCTGGGGTTGTTCCTCCGTGGGTGGAGGACTTTGCACTTCTCCATGTTGAACTTCATGAGGTTCCTGCCAGCCCATTTCTCCAGCCTGTCCAGGTCCCTCTGGATGGCAGCACAACCCTCTGGTGTATCAGCAACTTCTCCCAGTTTTGTGTTATCTGCAAGCTTGCTGAGGGTGCAATCTGCCCCATCATCCCGATCATTAATGAAGATCTTGAACAGGATCGGACCCAGTATAGACCCCTGGGGTACACTGCTAAGTTACTGGCCTCCAGCTAGACTTCCTGCTGCTGATCACCACCCTCTTGGCTGGCCATTCAGCCAGTTTTCGATCCACCTCACTGTCTGCTCATCCAGCCCTTACATCAACAGCTTCTCTATGAGACTCTTCTGGGAGACAGTGCCGAAAGCCTTACTGAAAGCTTTGATGATACCCACTGCTCTCCCCTCATCTACCAAGCCAGTCATTTCATCATATACAGTGACATACCTATGATAAATGCTGTTTATATGTCAGTTTACAGAGATGTAAGTGTAAAAACATCCTGAGTCAAACAGCAGCTGAGTTCTTGTACCAATCTTGACTTGGACCATGGCCCCTGAGTGTTTTATTCTTCTCTAATTTTAAAAATTTCTCATTTCATTTTTATCCAAATGAAATTTGAAACATTTTACTACAACTTTATTTCCCCTCCTTTATAAAAATGTTTCTTAAAACATGAAACTCTGTCCTTTAATTTTAGTTTGTATAATAACAATTGTTCTTTTCTAAAAGGTGCTTAAAATGGCATGTTATTTTGGTGGTTTGCCTCTAAAAAAAACCAAAACACATTGTCCAATGACAGTGCTATATATCTCCACTACATAAGTGTTACTAGCAGCCATGTGCCCTGTTCTCTAAAGATCCTGGAAGAATATCCTATCACTCTCTAAATCAAAGTTTTAATTTTCAAAGAAATGTTTGTGTTTGAATATTTCAGAAATACCACACTTGCAACTTATTCTCCAGGAGCCTCGGCAGGAAGCTGTGATGGTCGCAGAAAACATGAAGCAGGTAATGATTAAGGAGCTAAAATAAGCTAAAACTAAAATAGGTCAAGGACTGGCCTTAAAACAGCTAAGCTGTTATGGCTCTTTTTAACAATCCTCTTTGGAAGGTTATTATTAACTGGATTAACGATGAAAGACAGAAATAGCTTCCAAATACTGCTTGTAGTGTTCTTATCAGGCTGTATTTCCCTTTGCTGGCTGTGTGGAATTCTTGTGTCCTTCATCCACCCAATCCATATCCGTGCTATTTTCTGCCTCTTGTGAGTTAGTTCTTCAGCAAAACCGTAGGCTAAACTGAGGCAAGTCTCAGGAAATACAATTCCAAAGGCTCAGCTGTCATTATAGGATGCCTTTTAAACCAACCCTATTTATTCCCACTGCCCTGATGGGGGTCTGGCAGACTGACTGGAGGAAGCTGAGTTCTCTTTGTTAGGTGGGAGACAGGTAGATTCCATCCTTGTACTCTTCCACTGTGAACAGCTGCAGGTACAATTGCAGTCAGTCTATTGGTGAGAAGAGTGCAGAATTAGATACCTGCTGCTTTGCTTTGTACTCAGTCAGCAAGGTGATGGAGATGACTGCCTCTGTATATCTGTACTAAGAATTTGTGGTAGAATTGTTTGTTAGCTTAGAGCAAGGGGGGTTCTTTCCAGACTGCTTCACGCTGTTCCAACCTGCCAGCAGGGGGAAGAAGATGATGCTGTGTTTTATCTAATACATTCCTCTCCAACAGAGAGAGCTTATAGTATATATATTACTGTGAAGTATTAGGGCAAAAGTTGACATTTGGGACTCATGTTGGAACTAGAGAAGGCATTCTGAGTCAGCTCATCCTGCTTGACTTCTGACCCTTACGTTCCAACTTCTGACCCTTACATGCATGTAGACGAGGTGTAAGCTAGTGGATCAACGGGTACATACACACAGGCACATGCGCACGCGGTCTTTTCAAGGGCAGATATAAGCCTTTGAGCTATTTTCTAGAGCCTCTTTATAAACAGTGGAGATAACAGGTTCTTTAGCATATGATTCACCTGGACCAAGGTGGATGTTGAAAATGGGTCAATGAATCCAACCCTGGAATTGTCCATTTCAATGTCTTAATTATAAAAAGAGTCTAGCTAAATAGCTTGCATGTAAGTATTTACACTTGGACAGATATATCCTGCCATTTGTGCATCTGACCCATGACTTTAGGCCAAGATATATGTGAATCCAAACCCAGTTCAGGGGTTTGAGTCATGTGCACAGGTTATTTGGATGCATGCCATACATTCCATTTCAGTGCTTGGAGCTTGCAAAGGCAAAGTGCTCTAGAACTTGGGGCTGGAGATCGTTTCCTTATGACTGTGTGAGCTGTTAGTGCCCTATACTTACATTCTAGGTAGTTACAGCAAATGTTAATTCTGAACACTTCATTTTGTTTTCAGTCTTTCCATTGTTGGGTTGGGTTGGGGTTTTTTTACTTGCTTTTTTTGGGGTGGGAGGGAGTAGCTTTTTTTAGAGGCACTTTACTTAGTTCTGACTCGTAGTCTCTTTGTACTCTAGTTCAAACCTTTTCCCACAGAAGTAGTGCTGAGGGTGCCAATTGTTTGTGGTGGTGAAAGACAATGTGTGTTGGGAACTAGCCAGAAATATTGCCATTCATTTTAGGTGCATGTTAACTTACAAGTGGACTTTTCAGAATGAAGAAATTAGTAGATGAAGTCAGTTATTGTATGGATGTCAACAGCAAACTAACCAATTTCCTGGGCTTTATTCAGCATCTTTGTGTGGGCAAAAAAAGTTTGTGTCTGTGAAATAGCAAAATCTCCTCTCTCTTTCCACTGTGTTCCATCTTTTCCAACAGTCAGGTTCTGTCCTGTCTGACAGAGAAGCTGGAGACATGGCAGTTAATACATTGTTGTGGGGTGGTTTGTTTGTCTTTGTGGTGGAGCCTAGTGTAACTTTCCTGGGAAGACTGCAGGTTCTTTATCTGCTGGAGTAGCGAGGCATACAGTGACAAACACATGACTTCTCACCTTCTCTGCTTGGGTGGTTCAGTGAAAGGTTATGAATCTATAATTAGTCCCTTTGAAGCAGTGAAGATGAAAGAGGAAGCATTTCAAGGTGGGAAGGAAATTATTAGAATCATTGCATTCATTGATACCCTAATCTGCTGAGATTGTCGTAGTCTCTTGCTTAACATCAAAACCAATCCACGTTTTTTTTTAATTTATTTTCATTAGGCATCAGAGTTGTGTCTAAAGTTGGGACTGATAGTTTTTACTTAAAGCTTGGCAGAGCAGCAGGCAGCTAAGATAGCTGTCTTCTAATGCAAAGATCATGGCTCAAAACTAAGTATTTTTTCTTTAACCAATAGAATAAGAATGTTGGACCTGAGGTGAAATTGCAAGACTTGCAGACTCTGGAAGCTCCAGCCTCTTATGTAGACTGCTCTTCTACTTCTACAGGTGAGGACACAGAATAAGGCATGTGACAAGAAAACTGTGGAAATTTGAGAAGTTTCAGGGACAAATCTAAGGTGATTTGGAAAGAGGAGCTTTGAGGTCAGAATCTAAAGATGTACGGGAGATAGAAAAGATGCACACGAGGTAGAAGAGAACATTCTAATGTGGGATGGATAGGATATATCAGAAGGGAAGAAAGAAGTGGTTCCTAAGATGAGAAAGGGAGAAGGGTTTGAAGGAGAGTGTGTTTGTAGATGCAAAGGCTGATGTGTAAGACACAGAAGAGAATTAATATAGGATGAGGAATTGGGTTCCTCTCTGCAAGCTAGTAAGTTTCTTTTTGCTTCTGGAGTTACTGTCACCACGCCTGCCCCCACATTATTAAAAACAAAACAAAACAAAAAACCCAAACAAAACAAAACAACCAATGAACCCAAAACAAAACAACCTGTTACCTAGTTCACCTGTCTCTTTGCCTCTTCATTCTTCTGTGGAGGTTAGATATAGTGTAGACTTAGGTGATGCCAGCATGCAGCAAATGCAGGAGGTTTTGCAGGTGCAGAGCTATTGGGGATGTGTGGGTGCAATGCATAGGCTTAAACTCTGTTGGTGTGTTTTTTTTGTTTGGTGTTTTTTTGTCTTTCTCACCTTGGAAACTAGAGAAGCTCCAGTCCCATACATTGTCTCTCCACTTACCTACTGACTTTACATGCAACTCGTTATGCTGATGGTGACAAGTGTACCTTTTATCACTAGGTGTGTCAGGAGAGCTGGTGAATTCTGAAGTGCAAAAGCCTTTTGATGACACTTTCGTGCTCCCTGAGGTATAAATTTAGTCCGGAACTTTTTTTCCTCTCAGTCTTGTATGTGTCTGTGGATATGAAAACTTTAATTTAGTTTAAAAGCCCCAAAGAGTTGTTTTTTTAACATCCCTTAACTTAAAGTGGTTGTTGCAATACTGCAACAGGCTTTAAGAGATAGCTCTTCTTTAACGGTTCCCCGTAAATTGTTTCTGCCCTCCAAACTGATGAACGGGCAGGCTTTGTAACACAAGATGTTGACTTATTGGTGGGCTGCTGATCCATGCTTTCTGGAAAGGATTTGTGATTGCTTTTCTTTTGTAATCTGTTTGTGGGGGTGGGAGGAAACCTTAAGATAACTATTTGGAAAAAGCCGAGCACTTTGGTCCAGATGTTTTGTGTAGTGCTCTCACTTTGGAGGTGGACACAGACTGGAATATGGGCTTCTACACTGTTTCTTTGCCATGTTAAATGGACATATAGAGTAGGGAACAAAACCTCCTCGTGCAGAGACTGTGGATAGGATGCCAGGAAAATGTGGCTGGATAAGTACACTGGAGGGCTTGTGAGAATCACAGGAGAACTGAAACACTTCAGAATCATACTATCTTGTAATCAAGAGAGAATGGGAAATAAGGGAATAGGAAGTTACATTTATGGTCTAATCCTAAAGCCAGAATCTTTCATGCTGCAACTTCAGAAACTGAAATGAACAGAAATGACCTGAGGAGTCCTCCTGTTATTAGTGAGGCTACTATTTATTGCAATAGCCAGCTCAGGAAAGGGTATCCTTAAACTACAAAATGTGGAAAGCAGGTACTTCCAAAAGTGACCCTTTCATAGGATTCAAAGGAAAATTGAAACTTATTATTTTCTTTCAGGCAAGAACAGATGGCTTTCCCAATGGAAGTGAGCAGTTTACTGAGGAAAGTTGTCTGCCTGGAATTCTAGAATATCTTGCTGCAGAGAAACAGAAAGAGCTGTCAGTTTTGCTGCTGGAACTGAAAGAAGCCCAAGAAGAAATAACTTTTCTGAAAAGGCAGCTCAAGGGCCCAAACAGCCAAACTTCTACAGGTAACCAAACAGAAGAAGCAGCTAACCAGCTGGAAGGTAATTCTCGGATACGGTTTCTTGAGAGGGAAGAGCAAAAAGCTTCATATACAAAAAATGAGTTGGGCAGTAGCTCATTACTGAGAGAAATAGAAATGCAGCAAATTGGTGTGCTTCAGGAAAACAGAATCAGTCTTCAGGAAGTGCCCCAGGGGAGCACTGTCCCCTGCAGAGGGGAGATGGAGGCAATGCAAGAAGTCTCTACAGCAGATCCAGAGCCTGGCATCTCTCAATCTCAAGAACTGATAAAGTTACAAAACCAAATTACAGAACTGCAAATAATTCTGCGGAAATCAGAAGAATCCTATAAGAAAGATCTAGGAGAAAAAGGTGCAGAAATAAATAGGCTAAACCAGTTGGCTGAGGAATACAGAAAAAAAATAGAGGATTCTGACAGTGCATTTTGTGTTTTGACTGAAGAACGAGATCAGCTCTTGTGTCAGGTGAAGGAACTCTCTACCATAACAGAACTGAAAGAGCAAGTGAAGCAACTTGAGGAAAATCTAGCTCTTTCAGAAAAGCAGAGACTGTCAGAGAGTCAAAGCAGTCTTCTGAGAGAACAAATCCAGAGCCTTAAAAATGAATTTAAATCCAAGGAGATAAAAATTGAAGCTTTGCAAAAAGACTTGGATGAAGCACAACTTCAGCTTTCTGACCAGGACATGCAACTAAAAGATCTGAGAAGCCAGATCAAGAAAAAGGAATGTGAAGTACTTGATCTAGAACAACTTTTGAGGAAGTATACAGCTGAGATCGAAGAGCTTTCCCAAAACTTAGCCTCAAAGGGATGTGAAGCAGCAAGTCTAGAACAGCTTGTTGCTGAACACACCAGGTCTATAGAGAGCCTGCAACAAACCTTGCTGGAGAAAGACCAACAGATGACAGAGATCAGTGTCAGCATGTCTGAGAAAATGGTCTTGCTGAATGAAGAGAAATTTTCTCTAGGAAATGAGCTTAAGAGTCTTAAAGAACAAACAAGTCTGTTACTAAAAACCCAGGAAGAAAAAGACCAAAACATAGAAGCAAGAGATACATATCCGAAATGTGGGGCATCTGAGCAGCAGTATGAGACAGAGGCAGCATGTGAAGAAAGTGAGGTATTAGTAAATAAACTTGAACTTCTGAAAAAAGAAAACGAGCAAGTAAAGCGGAAGCTGCAAGCAGCACTTGTTAACAGGAAGGAGCTTCTGAAGAAGGTTAGCAAATTGGAGAATGAATTAGTACAACTGAGAAGAGAACATGAATCAGAAACCTCAGTGGCTCAGGAAGCTGAAGGGGAAGAAAATATGACAAGCGTGATAAGCAGAGAAGTGAATCTTGAAAGCCAGCCCAGTGAGGAGTATCTAATTCAACTGCTTTCTGAAAAGGAATCTGAGTTGCAGAGCATCCGGAAGGACCTGCTGGATAAAGAAACTACTGAAGCACAATTGCAGGCAGTGATTGAGGAAATGAGGCAAAGCTTGCAAGGTAAGACAAACATTGTTTCAATTAAAGATGAAATCATGGAGAGTCAGACAATTGCTGACAAAGTAACTGAAACCAACAAAAGCCCAAAAGATTATGAAGAAAATGAAAAAAATAGTTCAGCAGCTACAAATCTTGAAGAAAACCAAAAGTCTGCTCTGAAAGAGAGGATTTCAACTCTTGAGCAAGAAAAAGAACAACTTCAAAAAAAACTTCAGGAAGCCCTGGTATCTCGCAAAGACACTATAAAAAAGGCTCAAGAAAAAGACAGGCATCACAGAGAACAGCTGAAACAGCAGAAGGATGATTACAACATCCTACGAGAACAATTTGATAAGCAAAGCAAAGAGAAGGAGAGCATCCAAGCTCAGCTCAAACAACTCCAAGAACAGAAAGGATCAACAGAGAGTGTTCTTGGGAATCAGGGTGGGTTGGATTCTTCACACATGGAAGCAGAAAATACAACAAATAACAAGTTTGTACAAGTTGCAGATATTTCTGGGGAAGAGTTTAAGAAAAAACTTGAAAAATTGCGGATGGAAAAAGAGGAATTGGAATATAACGTTAGCCATATGCAAAGTGAACTTGCTTGCAAGTCAGAATTAGTCTTTCATTTGCAAGAGCACATAGCACAGTTGTTTCTGGAGATAGAAGGGCTGAAGAGAACCTCTGACCAAGCTGAAGCTAAGGCAGCAAGTCTTCAGACAGAATTGCAGGAGAGCCGAGCAAAAATTTCTAGAGAAGGCAGTCTGGAAGACCTGAAAACACTTATGCACCAAAAGGATGAAGAAATGGAATTTCTTAACTTGCAGTTAAGGGAGAAAAGTGAAGCTCTCAATAATGTGCAGGCACAGTTGCTGGAAAAAGAGGATTCGGTCAAAAGACTACGTAGTCAGTTGGAAACTCAAGCTCAGGTACATGAGGAACAAAGCAAGCGACTGCAAACAGAGTTGCTTGAAATTCAGGAGAAGCAAGATGACAGTGCAGAAGCAGCTAAACAGAAGAATCAAATGCAGAGAAAGTTGCAAGCTGCACTTATCTCTAGAAAAGAGGCACTAAAGGAGAGCAAATCTCTAAAAGAGGACCTGGCTAATGCTAAAAGTACTATTGAAAATCTTTGTGTCAAGTTGACAAATATGGAAAGCCAAATATGCGGCCACGTTAAAGAAACAGATACCTTAACAGAAAAGTTAGTGGGCCTCACTGAAGAGCGAGAAAAACTTACTGCAGAAGTTGATAAAGTACTTAGAGAAAATCAGAATCTTGATGGATGCTGCAAAAACCTGACATTTACTCTAGATAGAGTTGTTCTAGAGAAGGAGAAGCTGGAGAAGGAGATGGAATCCTTGAAATGCTTTCAAGCCACTGAGAGTTCTGAGTGGCATGAGAAATACGGGGAGCTTCAGAAAGAATATGAAACTCTCCTGCAGTCATATGAGAATGTGAGTAATGAGACTGAGCGGATTCAGCGTGTTTTGGAAACCGTTAGGCAGGAAAAGCAGGAAATTTTCATTAAGTTGAAAAGCGTTGAAGCAAAAAAAGAGGAAACAGATAAGCAGCTACAGGAAGCTGGACAGGAAATTGAAGGAATGAAGGAGAAGATGAGGAAATTTGCAAAATCAAAGCAACAAAAGATCCTGGAACTAGAGGAGGAGAATGAGAAGCTTAGAGCAGAGATGCATTTTACAGATGGAGAGCTACCCAGGACTGGAGATGTCTTTACAAATACTAGCCTGAAAGAAGATCTGGAGAGCTCTAGGAGGGATTACCAGTCTCTTTCTACTCAGCTTGAGACAGTAATGGCTGAAAAGGAGTCTCTTAATCAAGAGATCGCAGACTTAAAGTGTCATTTGCAGTTAACAGAAGCTAAGCTGAAGGAAAGCAGGGAACTAGTAAACAAGTATGTTGCTCAGAAGACAACAGGGGAAGAAACAAATCAGGCAGTTACCACACCACCACTAATGACTGAAAATCAAGTGGACATAAGTTTTAGATCAGAGTCTCCTACTGCAGAGCTGGAACAAAAAGCATTTGAAGGTAGTAGCCCTTGTGAAGATCTTGGTACCTATGTACAGCAGATAGCTGAGCTCACAGAGCGAATCACAGAACTAGAAGATAATAGGAGGGCTTCAGAGCAACAGCTGGGTGACATCCGCATGTGTGTTGAGACTTTAGGAGGTGAGAAAAGGGCTTTAGAGATCCAAATGGAAGAGAAAGCCCATGAGTTGAATGCTCTTCAGGACACAGTAGCAAAGATGGAACAAATGGTCCAAAAAACCAAAGATGACCTTGTCAGAATGACAGAACTGAAGAACACACTAGAGGCTGAGAAGGATGATTTGGAAGAAAGGCTCATGAATCAGCTGGCAGAACTTAATGGGAGTATTGGAAACTATCAGCAAGATGCAACAGACTTCCAGATCAAAAATGAGCAACTGAAACATGAGCTTCAGAGTTTGCAGAGAATGATGCATGAACTGGAGGAGGAGAAATGTCAGATGGCAAAGGAGAAAAGTAAAGCAAGTTCAGAAAAGCAAAAGGAATTTGTTGAAAAGCTAAAATGCAGTTGGAGGGGAGACAGCAGCTCACATGTAAAGGAGCTTCAAGAACTGCTGAAACAGAAACAGCAGGAGATTAAGCAGCTGCAGAAGGACTGTATTAAAAGCCAGGAAAAGAACAGTGGTTTAGAAAGAACTGTTAAAGCTCTGGAATTTGTGCAGTGTGAGTCTCAGAAAGAGGTAGAAGCAGCCAAAGAGGCTTTAGCTAAAGCGGTTGAAGACACCAAGAAAGCCCAAGCAGAGCTTGCTCTCTGCAGAGTGGTATTGGATGACACCCAGAGTGAGGCAGCAAGGGTTTTAGCAGAGAGTGTCAAAGTGAAAGAAGAGTTGCAGGCAAACAAAGAGAATATTAAAATTCAAATGAAAAAAAAAGATCAGGACTTCGAGAGAAGACTGGAACAGGAAAAAGACAAGCACTCAAAGGAAATTAAAAATGTGGAAGAAAAGCTGGCAACTTTGCAGAGGGAGAAAGACTATATGGAAACAATTGTTGGTGATCTTCAAGACTCCTTGAAGACCAAGGATCAAGAAGCCAAGCAATTGGAAGGCAGCCTAAACAAAACACTAGCCCAGCTTGCAGCCTTCACCAGGAGCATGTCTTCCCTTCAGGATGACAGGGATAGAGTGATAGATGAAGCAAAAACATGGGAGAAGAAATTCACTGAAACTATTCAAAAGAAGGAAGAAGAAATACGTTCAAAAGAGGAAACTTGTGTTGTGCTAAAGGACCAGATGAAGCAGATGACCATACATGTGCAAGAACTTCAGGCTCGTATATCCAGGTAAAGAAGGTGATAATGACTCAGCTGGTGTTCTTGTATTTCCTTTTGACAAGGCAGCAGCCAGAGGTGAGGTAGGATTCCCCTCTCCTTTTGCAGTGTACCAGAAAGAAAGAATTTTGAGTATGTAAATATGCTAAATGTGACATGTGGTTGGCAAAACTAACGAATGCCTAAGATGGAGAGCAGAATTAATCTTCCTAATAAAGCCATAAACATAGGTTCATCTCCTGGATCACTTATATTTGGATAAAAAAGAAGTTTGGAGTTATGTTGTAGGGAGTCACTATGTATTTGTTGTCTGCACAAGGATGCAGGGAGATTTACACTGTAAAATACTTCTTCTCATCACTAGGGTACCCGTGTTAAATCTATTCTCTGTGGCAAGCAGTAGCCATCTGAGTACTATCTAGAGTCTTTATTAATCTGAAATCTGAAATAGATTCTTTTGCGTAGAGTTGATGCATTCAGAGATTAAATTTGGCAGGTCAAGAGAGCATTGGGATACATAATTCTAGTTTAATCCCAAAACAGATTTTGAGGGAAAGATGGAGCTATAGAAATGTACCAAAATGTACATCTGGGAATTTCCAAAATTCAAAACAAAACTGTTCTTACATGAGTAAAATTGTTCTATAAAGTTGTGATCAAAATGCTATATCTGCATGCTGGAACATGAAATGAGCATCAAGCATATGAGAACAGTGATTTCATTGATTTTTTTTTTTTTTTTCTTTTTTTTAGCTACAATGGATGAGAGAAAGAAGTATTTTAATGAAAAGGAGGTGATAACATTCAATGTTTAACCTCCTCCATTTTTTCAATATGAATGTAAAGATTTATCTCACTGGACAACTTTTAAAAAGTATTCCCCCAGCACCACCCCCTTCAGACAGTAGTGCAGTCAGAACTTTAAAAGATGCCTTGAATTTTAAATTGAGGGAAAACTAATCATGTGGATATTTCCAGCTTGCTTCCTTAAAGTAAAATTAATTTTGTAGCTTTTCTAAATTAGTATAATCAATGAAAACTACTACTGTGGTTTTGGATACTGAGATACTTGATTGCTTTATGACTGACTTTCTCTTCTCTGTTTTCAGGCTGGAATGCAACAAGAAGGAGTGGGAGTCTGAATCCACAAAGGAGATTCAGCATCATCAAAAGACATGTGAAATATTGCTGGAGGAAAAAAAGGAGCTTTTGACTCAACTTGAAGGGTCTCAGAAACTGTACACCAAGTCTCAGAATGAACAGCAGAAACTGGAGTCAGAAATCAGCAGCCTGAGAGACCAGCTTGCTGACCTACAGAATTCCTTCACCAAATGTGAATTGGTTAGGGAAGAGCTGGGGAATATGGTCAAGCAACAAGAGACCAGTATCCAGAATTTTAAATTCAGCTGTGAACAGCTTGAGGCTGATCTGCAAGCTTCCAAGGACCTAACGAATAAGCTGCATGAAGAAACTAGTGCCAAGGATCAAAAGATCATTGGTTTGCTGTCTGCCAAGGAAGAAGCAGTTATGGCGGCTCTATCTGAATTACAGCAGCAACATTCTGAAGAGATGAAGGAGTTGGAGCATAGGCTAAGTAAGGAGGAAGAAGATAAAAAAGCTTTGGAAAATGAGAAGAACAAATTTCTTGACAAACTTGATCATCTCACTGAAAAGATGAAGATAAGCAGAGAAGAAAGTAAGCAGCAGAAGGCACAACTGGACTCCTTCACCAAGTCCATGACATCTTTGCAAGATGACAGAGACCGCATACTGAGAGACTACAAGCAACTTGAAGAACGTCATCTTGTTATAATCTTGGAAAAAGACCAGCTAATTCAAGAGGCTGCTGCTGAAAACAATAAGCTCAAGGAAGAAATCAGAAGTTTTCATAGCCGAATGGATGACCTCAACTCTGAGAATGCCAAGCTGAATGCAGAGTTGGTGCGGTATAGAGAAGACCTGAACCAAGTGATTTCAATAAAGGACTCCCAACAGAAACAGCTTCTCAAAACACAGCTTCAGCGGATCCAAACTCTGGAAAAGGAGAAGGCAGTCATAGAAACACAGCTGAAAGAGTCCAAGCATACTCAGGATGATCTCAGGAAGTGCATGGAAGCCTTGAGAGAGGATAAAGTCAGTATGTCTCAGGAGATTGAAACCCTTATGTCCTCTCTGTCTCGGGTGCAGAGTGAGATGACATCATTACATGAGGGGGGTCCTATCACGGAGTGTCAAACACAACTGAAGGTCCGAGAGGAAGAAGCACAAGAACTGAGTCATAAGCTTTCCCTCTCACAGAAAAGGATAACAGAACTTGAGGGGGAACTAGTATGTGTTCAAAGGGATGCAGCCAAGAGAGTGGGAGAGGCTGAGGACAGGCTTCGAAAGGAATTGAAGCACCTACATCATGATGCAGGGATAATGAGGAATGAAACAGAAACAGCAGAAGAGAGAGTAGCAGAGTTGGCACGGGACTTGATGGAAATGGAACAGAAATTTCTTGCAGTCACAGATGAAAACAAAGATCTCAGAGCTCAAATTCAGTCTTTTGGGAAGTCCATGAGCTCTCTGCAGGATAGTCGGGACCAGGCCAATGAAGAGCTTCATGTTTTGAAACAGAAATACTCTGTAGACTTAGAGGAACAAAAGAATCTAGTACAGAATCTTCAGAAACAGATGGTTCAGCTACAAAAGGAGCAACATTCCACTGCCAGGGACCGAGATACAGTGAGGTCTGAGCTGACAGAACTGCAGAAAGCCACCGATGAAAGAGGTCTTTTGGCCCAGATTGAGAAACTTAATCAGAAGCTCAGAGCCAAAGATGATGAGCTTCTCCATTTGTCTTCAGAACTGGAAGGCTCTTCCAACCAAGTCAAATCTTTCTCCAAGGCTATGGCAAGCCTGCAGAATGAGCGAGATCATCTGCTGAATGAATTGGGCAAAACATGTAAGATTGAAGAAGTGAAACAACAAGCAGAAGGGAGCACTTCCACCACTCCTTCAGAAGTGCAGAGTCTTAAGAAGGCACTGTCCTCCTTGCAGAATGACAGAGACAGAGTAGTAAGTCCTTGTTCTCTCTTCCTGCTCTTACTTAAAGCCCCATAGGAGATTTGGATCTTCAGATCTTAAAATTCAGCACACTTAGATCTGGTATTTACAATGTGAAACATAGATCATTGTCTTCACCGAATCACAGAATAGTTGAGGTTGGAAGGGACTTCTGGAGATCTTCTAGTCCAACCCCCCTGCTCAAACAAGGTCAGCTGGAATAGGTTGCCCAAGACAGTGTCCAGTCGGATTTTGAATATCTCCATTGGTGGATATTCCACAACTTCTCTGGGCAACCTGTTTTTTCATGTATCTGGAAGTGGTTTCCAGAATTAGTTGCTCCATCACCTTCCCAGGGATGGAGATGAGGCTGACCAGCCTGCAGTTCCCCAGTTCCTTCTCCTTGCCCTTCTTGTAGCTAGGGATGACATTTGCTTTCTTCCAGTCTTCAGGAACCTCTCCTGACCTTTCAAAGGTAATTGAGTTCCCTCCCAATGACCTTAGCACTTGTGGGCATGCTCCATCAAATCCCGTGGATTTAGTATGTGCCATCTATGTTATCTTCTCTGACACATGGAAGCTGTGATTTCATTGTTAACTTTGCAGGGTGGTTTCTCTTAGCTTGATTTAAAATATGGAATCATAGAAATAATGTATGGGTTCCCTGTGTTAATCTCCTTAGTCCACATCTGTGGAAGCTTGTGCATTTGATTTGTCTTAGATTCCTAGAAGAGACTAGAGCAAAGACGTGGGTCTGTTTTTCCTCTTGGCAGCTGATTGTCAAGACAGGTACAAGGCATTGCAGCTTCATTTTGATATCCTTGCTTGCATACTTAATGTGTCTGCGTTTGTATAGTCTTTGGCACAATGCAGCTCAGCAAGTTTCAGAGTTCTAGTTGCTGGTCAGATGACAGACTTTTACAGTCATTTTCCACTGTCACAAAGTCTGTCTTAGTTTTCCCTTCTGTTAATTTACAACAGACTTTGTGATACTGTCTTAAACATACCTTCCTTCTTGTCCATTTTATATCTCAGTTATTTGTAAATTTATGTCTCCTCTACTGCTGTTTTGTTGAACCTGCATATCTGTGTAGCACTGCTAATACTAAGATAGATCCTCAGTAGATCTCCTGACTCATTAAGTACTTCCTGTCTCCAGAGTCAGTCACATCTTCTTGTCTTCAAAAACTGATTGCAGTGATGGGTATGTAATGACAACTTATTTCTAATTCCAGTCTGAGTAGACTGTCAAAAGGATTTTAGTTCCTCAGTCCCCTGGTTTACAGTAAACACCAGCTTCAGGAGTTATTCTTAACCAGCTCCTTCTGGCTGACTTTGTCTTCCTCTGAATAAGGGAATTAATATTGTAGTCTGGGGTCTTTTTGTTACTGTACGTCAAATCTTCATGGAAGGTCTCAAAACTCACTACTCTCATTAACAATAGAGTTCTCTGATGTTTTTTTTTCTGAGCAGTTTTTAGTAGACTGCTGTAATCACTGATTGATTTCTAGTTTCTGTCATCTGAATGTGACTTTTTTTTCTCCAGATGCCATAGTGAGAAATGCTCTTAAACACTTAAGTAATAAACCTGGCTGCTTGCTCAGTTGTCACACACCCTGCTATTTCCCTTTAATTAAAGGTAAGAGAGCTGAAGAATCTGCAGCAGCAATACATACTAGTCGGGGTAGAATCAGCTGAAAATTCTCGCTTAAAAGCACAACTGCAGGAATATCAACAAGACGCAGATAAACAGCATCGTCTCCAAGAACAGCTGAAGCAAGAAAGTATTTTCTACCAGCAGGAGCTCCAGCAGCTTAGGTGAGAATTGTCTGTCTTCTCACTGCCTTAGAGATGCAAATAGCCGTTTCTTTCATTCAAAGAACAATTGTGGGCAGAAGGCAAAGCAAGCATTGAGAACTTCAGCCTTACCTGTGTCAGCTGTCACTAAATTTGCCCTGTTCAGGAGTGGGCACACGTTTCCCTTGTTCAGCTTTTGCCTCAGACTTAGGGTGAAGGATTACAGCCCAACATATTGGAAGGAAATGCCTGTGTAAAATAGATCAATGACCTTTTAATTTTTATTTCCTTCATCCAGTGGTGGCCAATATCATCTGTTTGAGAGGAAACTTAGGCTGTTTCTTGTATTGGAGCTTATGTATGTAATTACAGAAGTCTCCATTCCAAGCTGATGATGAACACCCTTTATTATCCCACTGATATAATTGTTTAGAAAATACTCATTTTGTATGACACTCTAATCCTTTGTTTCACTTGCTTTATGTCTTCTATTTTTAAAAAAGTCTGTAATTCAAGTCTACTAAATTGCCATCTCCAACTGGACTAAAACTAGTCAGACAAACACGCTCTGTTCTAAAAATGGGGGAAAAATTCTTTCAGGTACTTCAGGGAACCATCTAAGAATGACTGAACCTGGACTGAAAGGGGTGGAGTTTTTTTGTGGAAAGATGTATGGCTTATCTTTGTCCAAAGTGATATAAAAACTTGTTCTTTCCCCTCCCCCTTCCCCCAGTCTGACCCTCAAACTAACACTTCAGATCTCGTAAAGTTTGAAGCAGCTTACAAATTTTATTTATCTCCTGATAAAAGAAAAGATTTATTTCCTGTTTAGCTTCTACAATGTCAATGAAGCTAAGGCCTCAAGTTTGCATGTTGGGTCGATGGTATGGTTCTGGTACATATTTGACTGAGGCAGTGATAATGTTATGATGACAAGTGGCATTGTCAATGACTTGCTTGACAAAACTCTCTGTATCAAAGATCAAAACAATGTCCAGGAATACCAAAAGTGTGAGCATTGAACAATCTGCAGTGTTGAGCCAAATGCACAATACTTCCTTAAACCTGCTTTTAAGGTTCCTGTACTTAAGTGGGTTTTGGTTTAGTTATGAAAATTCTTTTCTGGCATGGGGTAATGATAGGAAATAGAATCATCCTCAGCTCATTCTCAGCTGGATACCTGGATATCATAAGTGATACTGGTAACTTCCTGGTAATTTCCTTTGTGTCGTACTGGGCAGACAAGAAAAAACTACCTGGGAAAAGCAGCACAGCAGCATAAAGGAGCAGTACCTGATGGTCATAGCAGAAAAAGACAAGCAACTGAGCCATTTACAAAGGATCACGCAAGAAATGAGACTGCCCCTCAGCAAGTCTCAAATTGTAGAGGAACAGTACCAAACAAAGGTGGGTGGAAATACACAGATTCTTTATTGCATAGAAATGTGAGGCTTGAAATTCAGCCAAAGCATCATTGCTTGTATTCAGCTCGTACAGACTGCAGTATCAGATTTTATTGTGTGGCCTCCGAGGACTATACCAACAATGCAACTTGGATCATTGAAAACCTTTAGAAAACTCTGGCATACCCTTATGTGCTCTTCTGTTAGTTCATGGTTCCTAATGTTTCAAGAAAGAGAGTAGAAGAGACAGGGCTTCCTAGGCACCCTAGGTCCTTCTAAGCAGTATGGAACTTCTCAGATCTTTCTTTCTGGCTATTTTAGAATTGCCTCTTGCACTGTGTTTGCATCTAAGATCTTCTGGTTTAGTTCTCCTTTTAATGTCACATTCTAATTTTTAAGTTTCCTATTGAATTTTTATTGCTGTTTTTACTGTGACAGGGATCTACAATCCTGACTCAAGCCCAGAGAGGCTGAGGATTGAACGTTGCACTTTCTGCCTTCTTTCCCCTGTATCACAGTCCTAAAAGTGGAGTGGAATATGTTGAGTATTTTGCTTGGTCTAGGGAAGGACGCTTGCCTGCTGCATGTACAATACCACTACATCATGAGCAAGGGAAGAACTTCCTGCCCACATCTGTAATGTTCCAGTGAGAAGCTTTTATGTCAGTGGAGGAGGGAGGAAATCTCCCCTTATCCCTTTGACACACACATGCATATGTGCAAAAAAAAAACCTAGAACAACGAACATGTGATGCTTTCCAGGAAAATGCTTCAGTGCTAACCTTTTAGTCTATGTTGAATGAGAGCAGTGTGGACATTGCTTTGTTTTTTTGTTTGTTTTTCTTGTTCTGATTCATACGCCTTTTTTTCCTTCCTGTATTGTAGACAGCTTTAAGACAACTTCTGAGAAGGACCCATTGTATGTGCAAATTCAGTGATCTTTCCTAATTGTTTGGATTTTCAGATGGCTTTTAGGATATTTCTGTTTATTGCCCATTTGCTGTTTTGCTTGAGCAGATCAAGTTCCAGGCCTAGGAATAATGTTGGGCTTTGACCTTGAAATACTAAACAGAGAGGACTAATATGAGACCGGGTTGTTCCGTGTGCAGTATATTTTTCATTGTTCTTTCCCTGGCAGATTTCTTCAGAAGTTCTGAGAGGGGACTTTTCAAGCCTAGAAACAGAGACAAAACATCTCCAAGCCCAGCTAATTGACAGCCTGAAAGAACTGCACCACAAAGAGCTCAGAATTCAGCAGTTAAACAGCAAGGTACCGATTATATCTTATACTTGCTTGCAGAGTCTGGGATGAGGAATGTGGGGAAGAGAGTAGGCTTGAGTAGGGCTTTCAGGAATGAATCTTTCTGTTCTTGTGGGCATTCAGTGAAGTAACACAAAATCAGAAATACTAGTTATAAAAGACTTCTGGAGATGATCTAGTACATCCTTCTGATGCTCAAAGCAGCACTGTCACCAACATTAGATCAGGTCAGCCATGACTTTGTCTAGCTGAGTGGTGAAAGAATAGAGATTCCAGAACCTCTCTGGGCCTTTATCCAATGCTGCTCTACACTTTTAATGCAAATGTTATTCTTAAAGTCTAGTCTGACTCTTCCAAGCCACAGTCTGTGGCTATGGCCCCTTATTACATTTTCTGCCACTACCAAAAAGTGTTTGGCTCTGTCTACTTTATGAATCCCTTTAATTTAATTGTGAACTATTGTAAAATGACCCCTTAGCCACCTCTTTAGCAGGCTAAAGCAGCCCAGCTCTCATAGGCATCATGTGCTCCAATCCCTCGACGATCTCAGCAGCCTTTTCCTGGACTCATTCCCATTTCTCTACCCATTTTAGAATCATTTAGGTTGGAAAAGACCCTTGATATGACTGAGTCCAACTGTTAACCTAACACTGCCA